CCCCAGCCCTTCCCAGTCCTCCCCTGGAGAACTCCGTGGTCAGGGACCTGCTGGGGGCCCCCTGGTCGCCCAAAACCCACAGACATGTCCCCCTGAATGTCTGGAACAGAAGGGCACAAAGCTGTGGGGTATGTGTGGGCATTTGTGTGTGTGTGGGGGGGTGTGGTGTGTGTATGGTGTGTGTGTGGTGTGTGTATGTGTATGTGTGGTGTGTGTGGTGTGTTGGGGTTTGGTGTGTGGGGTGTGGGGGGGTGCTGTGTGTTGGGTGTGGGTGTGTGTGTGTTGGGGGTTTGTGGTGTGTGTGTGTTGGGGGGGTGTGGTGTGTGTATGGTGTGTGTGCGGGTGTGGTGTGTGTGTGGCGTATATGGGGGGGGTATGTGTGGGTGTGTGGGTGTGTGTGTGTGTTAGAATCCCAGCTCTGCGCTTCCTGGCTTTGAGGCCTTGGGAGCCCCGTTGACCCTCATCCATGCAGTGGGCATAATTAGATATACCTGCTTCATACAGTTGTTCACACAGTACCTGGCGATGGCCTGGCTCCTCTGGGACACTGGGTGCCCGCTGGGGGCCCCTGTAGGAGTGTGCCAGGTGCCGTCAGATGCATTAGCTCAGGCAGGGTTACACCCCCTGTCACAGATCCGGAAGCCCAGGAGAAAGGGGCTTGCCTGAGACGGAAATGGACAGGTTTTGCTAGAGCGCCCAAAGGCTTCCACTGCCGATTCACTTTCTGAACCTCCTGCCTCCCAACCCCCTCGGACCACTTCCTGGGCCAGACAGAACCAGGATGCCTCCTCCCCAGGACCAATGTCTGAGCTAGAAACCCCCAGCCAGCCCAGAGACACCCTCCCCGGGCCTGGCTCAGCAAAGGGGTCTGCTCCCTCCCGGCAGGTGGTGGCTGTGGACCCAGACCTGGGGGAGAATGGCACCCTGGTGTACAGCATCCAGCCACCCAACAAGTTCTACAGCCTCAACAGCACCACGGGCAAGATCCGCACCACTCATGCCATGCTGGACCGGGAGAACCCCGACCCCCACGAGGCCGAGCTGATGCGCAAAATCATCGTCTCTGTCACTGACTGTACGGACCCCTCTCACCCCTCACAGCCCCCACACCTTAGGCTGCGGGCATGCGCAGTGGACCTCTGGGGAATCTGGGGCCCACACAGGAGGGCTGTGTCTGATCACCAGGAGTAGAGTAATACCCACGCCCCAGCTGTGACTCCCAGAGCACCCCAAGGGAATGGAGGGGGCGGGGAGGGGAGCTTCGAGGCTCAGGCTGCTTCCTGGAGGGGCCGCTGGGATGGAGAGCTCTGACTGACACCCTCTCGCCACTTGTCTTCTTCCTGTCCATTTTCTCTTGCACCCATCTTACCCCATTCTCGGCCCCTTCTCACCCTGGTCTTCCCAGGTGGCCAACCCCCTCTGAGAGCTACCAGCAGTGCCACAGTGTTTGTGAACCTCTTGGATCTCAATGACAATGACCCCACCTTTCAGAACCTGCCTTTCGTGGCCGAGGTGCTGGAAGGCACCCCCGCGGGGGTCTCCATCTACCAAGTGAGTCTCTCTCATTTCATCCCTACCAGCCCAGAAGGGGGCAGTGGGTGCCCGAGGGGCCTCGCCCAGGCGGAGCACATTGCAGGGGCGGGGCAGGGGAGAAACTGGGGCTTGAAGGACAGAGGCTCTGGAGACATGGAGGGGAACATGGCTGGAAAGGATAGGGAGATGGGCAAAGGCAGAGGCAGAGACAGGGAGGGAGGCAAAGGTGGAATTCTGCAAGCCAAGTCCAAGTTTCTCAGGGCCTGATTATGGATGTCTGGCCTGCACATGGTTGTAGAATATAAAGAAGGCCAGATGAGTGTAGTCCTGGGCATCGCCTCTCCCATGCTTTCCCATAGCCCCCGATCAGCTCCCTGTAGTAGAAGGGCCTCTGCCCACTTTTCAGAGCTCTAAAGAGACTTTCCTAGGACCCTGAGGCCACACAAGGCAGGGTCTGATCTTGGGCCTGGCTTCTTTGCCTCCTTTTCCATCATCCTCTGGTCAGGGGGATCCTGAAGGTGCTGGTTTGGGGAAGATGACATCCAGGGTTTCCAGTCCTTTCAAAACCTCAGCCCTCCAGGGGCCGTTTGGAAACACCAGAGACCCTCCTGGTTAAGCGCATGGGCTTTGGAGTCCAGCCAATAGAGGTGTGGATCCCAGCTCCACCAACAAGTGCTGTGTGGCTTGGAGCAAACTGCTTACCCTCTCTGAGCCTCAGTTTCTCATCTGTGAAACGGAGATAATAATAGTACCTTCCTGACTGCTGTGGGGATTCAATCAGACACATGGATGAAGCACCCTGGAACTTGGACTCAGGAAAACACGGGAGCTGTGGCGATCACTATGTGTCTGTCACGAGGGCTTATACCTGAGACGCAGTGGCAGGATCAGGTTAGCCTGTTCCCATTCAAAGGAGACGGGGTTGTTTGTCAGGATGCCAGAGGGGGTGAGCTTGGTGGTGCTCCACAGGCCCACTGTGCCTCAGTTTCTTCATCTGTAGGAGGAGGTGGATGGTGTTTCCCAAGCTCCCAGCAGGGGGCGCCTCGATCCAGGGAACAGCAGCCTGTCCTGAGGAAGCCCCCAGGCCAAGGGGAGGCGGGGTGAGAGCGAGTGAACCCCTAACCCCAGTTCTCTGGAGGCTCACACTGGCAAATAAAGATGCCCACCAATGCAACTTCTGAGTTCATAGAGGAAGGAGCAGGGAGCGTATAATTTGGAAACTGTCTTCACATGCAGGACGAGCCTCCTCCCCTGAACTGTGCTCCCTGGGCCCACCTAGGACCTCAGGCGATACAGATTTCTGCTGGTTGTGCAGAAGAGCAGTCTCCAGGGGGTAGAGCTGTGTGCAAGTAAAGTAGAAATACTGAGCACCCTGTCCTGAAAGCATTCAAGCTGAGTCCAGACGACCTTGATAATGTCTCCCAGTCCTGAGAGCTTTGGCTTAATCCCAAACGCCATTTCAGCTGTTTCTACACATTTTCCCCAAATGCCTTGAATCCACTTCAGTAAAACATCCAGGGTACCAGGGTCTTGAGTCAGGCAATCTGATGGGGGCTGGAGGTGCAAATGGAATTAGGGAGGAGGCTTGCCTGTACATGGCTGCCAATGACTTTTTAAAAAATAATAATGAAACCCTCAAGTGACTTTTACAAAAGAACCCTTGACGTCATTTTATTTTTGTTGTTGCTGTCTCACAAATCAAGCAAAGCGGGGAGGGGCAGCCTGTGACTCCCATCTTCTGTGTGGTTGAGCTCCAGATCATGATGGGGTCCTCAAGCTGGAACAGCTGCTCCAAATCTGGGAGGGCTTCCTAACGGGGAGAGCAGGAGATGAAGGGGGAAATCGTTGTAGAGACCTGAGCTCTTATTCTAAAAAGTCCCTCTGCCACCCCACCGTCGGCCTCACTTGGTGCCTTGGGACACCTGTCAGCTGGTGCGTGACCCTCTTAGCATCTGGGAGGGTCCCCTGGGGACAGTGGCCTGACCAAAGGCTCAGAGGGGAGCATATGTGTCTTGTGTCTGGCTGTAGCCAAGTGTGTCTCGGCGGAGAGGAGGGGGCACTTATTAGGGGAGAAGCATCCGTCCCAGTGTCCCCTCCCCATCCTCATGCTGCCCCTCCTTGCCCTCAGGTGGTGGCCGTCGACCTAGATGAGGGCCTGAATGGCCTGGTGTCCTACCGCATGCAGGTGGCTATGCCCCGCATGGACTTCCTCATCAACAGCAGCAGCGGCGTGGTGGTCACCACCGCCGAGCTGGACCGAGAGCGCATCGCCGAGTACCAGCTGCGAGTGGTGGCCAGTGACTTGGGCACGCCCACGAAGAGCTCCACCAGCACGCTCACCATCCACGGTAAGGGGCGAGGGGGCTTCCACTGCGTGTTCAGTGCGTGGGCACAGGCCCGGGTCAGGGCCAGGGGGAGTGGGGAGCCTGTGTCCCCCACTGCTGTCTGCTGGACTTGTAGGCACAGGCTCCCTTGTTAATGAGGCACCCTCCTCAGCTGGAGGCACTCAACACTGCAGAGTCTTCTCTGCACCTGGCCACTGCCTTCAGTGCCCCAGAGCTCAGGGGCAGTGGCCTGGACCTGCTGCCAAGGCCCCGCTCCCCATTCTTCCTAGCCCCAGATTGTAGCAACAGCAAAGGGGACTTGCTTGAGCCAGGGCCGGGACCTCAGGGTCATGAGCAGCCAGGGAGGGTGCAGAGCACTTTGTCTTCTTTGGAAGGCCAGAGTTTTTGTTTGGAAACCTAAAGGAGACCTCCCTGTCCCATGGGTGTGGAACACCTGCGCTGGCAGTGACAGGGCATTGCTCTGGGAAGAGAGCAGCTGGGAATCCCAGACTCCCTAAGATCCTCATCCCGCTGGGGCTGTCGCGCTCATTCCCACAGTCTCTGCCTCTGCCCTCTATCGGTGAAGGGGCAGGGTGCTGTTTCCATGCTGAATGAGTCTTTAATTTTCAGAACAGGATGGGGACAAGAGCTGTTACCAAGGGGCCAGGAATAACCCCAGGGAAATAGGGGTGGAGTTTAACAGGCAAGACGTGGCCTGTTCCCTGGGCCTGTTTGGTCCCATCCTAGCTCTGCCGGCCTCTGTGGGATGGTGGCGGGGGAGGGAGTAGTTAGCTTGGCACAGGCACAGACACTGACCCTCTTCAGTGGAGACCTAAGATGGTAAGTATTCCAGAGAGCACGATACTCTCTCCCATCGCTCCAAGGCTTCCTGTGGGTTTATGGTGTCAGTTTCAGGACCCACTTCTTGGCGGATGATTGACAGGGAGTATGTCCCAGCTTTAAGAGAGGACCCCTGGAGGGCCTTCTTCCAAGACTCAGCAGAAGCCATATCATCAAAGGGGCCCAGCATCTCTCCTGGGGATACCATCTAAAGGAACCCAAGTTGGGTGGGGATCACTTCGCTATAAAGGTTGCCCAAGCGCCCCTCGGCCAGAGGAATAGGGCCGAGCATGCACAGCTGAATAAACAAATCTCTAAGGGAAATCAAACCTTATTTCGGGGGATGGGATTATCAAAGTGAGCACCCTTTGCTGAAGCTCCATTGCATACTGAGGGTAGACCTTGAGGCTCCAGCCCCTCCACTCTGCCGCTGTGTGACTTTGGACAAGTCACTCAGCTGCTCTGAGCTTTTGCTTCCTCAGCTACACAGCGTGTCTGATAATACGCGCCTTCTACGATGCTCTGAGGGCCACATGTGGTCCTGTCCGGGAAGCACTTAGCACAGGCGTGGCACGCTGGACAAGCTCGTAAATGGTCACCGTCGTCATCGTTGTCATGACTGTCCATGTTGCCATGGTCGTTGTTAGGTGCATCTGGGAGAGAGGTTCTAAGGTTTTCTCTCTCATCTTTGACAGCTGAGCAGCAGTAAGCCCCCAGGGCACAGGGGCACAGGGACAGCAGGAGGGTCTGGAGCACTGATGGGCTTGGTCCTGGCCCCAGCAGGGATGGGGGGTCCTGGGCTCATGGCCAGGAGGTGTTAACACAGATGCCACTTGGAGCCCATGACTCCCTTGGGAATTCGTTCCCTACTTGGTCTGGAGCTGGAGCTGGAGCCACTGCTCTGGAGCTGGGTCGTCTGCAGCAGAAGGCAGGCCTAGCCCCGGCGCCCATTCTCCCCTGCAGTGCTGGATGTGAACGACGAGATGCCCACCTTCTTCCCAGCCGTGTACAACGTGTCCGTGTCCGAGGACGTGCCGCGTGAGTTCCGGGTGGTCTGGCTGAACTGCACGGACAACGACGTGGGCCTCAATGCAGAGCTCAGTTACTTCATCACAGGTGCTGCCCACCCCCTCCTGTGCAGGCCTGCCGGGGCCCTGCCCACCCCTCCCAGATAGACAGCCAGGCTAGGTGCGGGGTCAGGTGAGGGTGGAAAAGAGGCCAGGGCTCCACTATTGGGCTTCAGCCCTGCCAGTGCCTCCCTGAGGATTTACTCCTGGCCCTTCCCAAGGGCTTTGCAGCTGGATCACGCTGGACTGGCTCCCTGGGGACCTCCTGAATGTGTTGGTTGTAGGCAGGGGGAGGATCTACTAAGGTTCATTCTGGAGAGAGGTGGGGCCCCCTGATTCCTAGGGGGAGCCCTGAGCCCCGCACCCCGCCCCAAGTCTGGGTGACAGAGCAGTAACTGGAGAAATGTGGCCTCGTCCTTCCTCGGGGACCCGTTACTCAGGAGAATTCCCATCTGTTTAGAGGCAGGTGGTTTCCATCTCCCTAAATGAAATGGTTTTAGCTCAAAATTGTTGCCTTGCTGTCACGTGGAGAGCTGTGGCCACAGATGATGAGGCCATGTCCTGGCTCACAGGGGAAAGGGGGCCACAGTGGATCAGTGATGTCTGCCACAGTGGGAGGATTGGTAGGTGGTGGCACACATGCCTTAGACTTGCCGTTCCTGGATGAGAACAGCTTCTCAGCCTCCCTGACACACACGAGAGGTGCTGGGACACATGGGAGCGCAGTCTTCCCGGCTCTTCAACCCCCCACGTGGCCCTTTTACCGGCCCAGTCTTCTCTCTGTCCAGGACCTGCCTACCAAAACACATGTTGCCTCGGCATCTGTGCTTCTGTATACACGGGCAGGGCACATACCAGCCTCCTGGACGCCTCCCCATGAAGCAAGAAGCCTGGCTCACAGCCCGTCCATGGCTTTTGCTGTGGTCAACGTGGCCTCCCAGCCCTCAGCCTGTACTTTCCTCACTCGCCTCCCGGAAGGGGCCCAGCACCCTCAGGCCCACTCCTCATGGTCTGGCCCTAAAGTCGGCCTGAGGGAGGGCTTAGTAACCAAGACCCCTCACACGGCACCAGCCCTGGGTCTCCACCACCCATGCTACTTGCATTCTACTTCTTCCCTGGGCTCCCCAGGAGCCAGATTGTGTCCCTTGCAGATGGTACTAAAGACACTAGGGAGCACTGGAGGTTTGAGGATCAGGAGGCTTTCCCCGGGGCAAACCAGCAAGGACAGGAGTACCTGGCAGTCTGCAGGATGACTCTTCAGCACCCCAAAGTGGCGGGCTCCTGCTGACCTACCCAGAGCCCTCCCGGATTTTCAGTGTGCATTCTGCAAGGAGCTGAGCCCAGTCCTGCCCAAGCTCACCACAAAGCTGGTGCCGTGGTGCCCTCTGCTGCCCAGAATGCCACATTGCTTGCCAGCTGGCAGGGGAGGGGTCTCCAAACTTCTGGGAGTTCTCCTGGCTCCTGTCCACCGCAAGAGGAGACCCTCACACTTCCCACCTGTTGAAGAACTCAGGGAGACTCAGTAATTCCTGTCTCCTGTACTGCTGACTTGACTTCTCCCTCTGTGGAGCCTCCATGTCCCCACTCAGGGAGCTTCAGTTCTCAGCCCATCTCACCTCTGAGATGAGGGATGTGGGGGATGCTCAGCCAACCCCATAGCCCTCAGCCACATATACAAGCCCCTATGTGGGTTAGCTGCTCATACGCTTCTGCAGGACAGGCAGGGAGCGGAGGGGTGAAGGACACACCCAGGGACCCGGGCACGGAGAACCTAGGGCAGCAGAGGCACACCATGGAGCAGTGGGTTCTCCTCTGTAAACTGGAGGCTGAAGGAAATGGCCTGTGTGGAGTGCCTGTATACAGGAGGCGCTCCGTGAAGGATGGGCACTGATTCCAGGCATCCAGCACCCCCACTGAGCCCACCCAAGCTGCACCCGCATCAGAGCGCCTCAGGCAAGGCTGAGTCGACAGCACAGCCTCCCACTCCTGGTCTCACCATGGCAGGTCCCAGCTCAGGAGCAGAGCCCCCCCTTTCCCTGGCCGGGAGCTCTGCTTCCCAGTCCAAAGCTTCCTGTCCTTCACCCACAGGTGGCAACTTGGATGGGAAGTTCAGCGTGGGTTACCGCGATGCCGTTGTGAGAACCGTGGTGAGCCTGGACCGGGAGACCACAGCCACCTACATGCTCATCCTGGAGGCCATCGGTACGCACCAGCCCCGACACCAACACGGTGATCTGGGCAAAGTTCACATGGGGTGCCTCCCAGGAGCAGGCCTTTTGCTAAAGGCTGAACTCTGCCCTGGTGCCAGTGGAGAAAGGGTACCAGACGCTCACTAAACATTACTGCCAGGCATGAGGCTCCCTGCTCGGTGCTACATGTAAGACGCTAGAATGGTAAGGTGGGAGCTGCCTGGGAGACCCATGTAGACAAATCACTGCAAATCCAGGCAAGCCAGCAGGAAGGGAAAAAGATGACATAAGAGTATCAGGCACAAAGGGTGGTGCAAACACAGAGGGAGAGGTCATGGGAGGCTTCCTGGAGGAATCAGCATCTGGGAGTGCCTTTGAATCAGTTAGGACTCTTTCAGTTGCAAATTTTAAAATAAAATAAGCTGACTTCAGCAATATGGGCTCATAAAACCAGCCCACTGGGAGATGTAGCTTCAGGTGTGACTGGGTTCAGGGCTCAGGTGACACCTCAGGCTTCAGTCTCTGCATTGGCTGGCGCTGCCTCCTGTGTGTTGATGTGCTAGTCCATTTTCACGCTGCTGATGAAGACATACCTTAGACTGGGTAATTTATGTAGGAAAAAGGGTTTAATTGGACTTACAGTTCCACGTGGCTGAGGAAGCCTCACAGTCATGGCAGAAGGCAAGGAGGAGAAAGTCCCATTTTACGTGGATGGCAGCAGGCAGGGAATGAGGAAGACGTAAAAGCAGAAACCTCTGATAAAACCATAAGATCTCATGAGACTTACTCACTACTACAAGAACAGTGTGGGGGAAACCGCCCCATGATTCAACTCTCCCACTGCCTCCCTCCCATAACACGTGGGAATTAGGGGTGTACAATTCAAGATGACATCTGGGTCGGGACACAGCCAAACCATATCAGTTGACTTTATTCTTCAGCACACATGTTGGCAGGTCATTGCCCCAGCCTCACCTATACATATTCTCAGGTTGAAGTGCAGCAACAGGGAAGACAACACCTGTCTCTCTCCCGTTCTTGGCAGAAGTCCTCAGATCAGGTCTAGGTAGATCCATTCTGCCCCAGCGCCCATCCCTGAACCCCTCACCGTGGCCAGGGAAGTGAGATGTGCTGGTTTCTTAGGCCTAAGTCACATGCCCATCCCTGGAGCTCGAGGCCGTCCCACCTACCCAGCATCCCAGGCCTCAGAGCCTGGAAGGAAGAGTCTACAGGGGACAGTCAGGGCATGGTCTTCCCAGGGGAGCACAGGCCAGTGCCAATGGGCAGAAACAAGGGGTGCCCACTGCAGCCTTGGGGGCCATATAAAGTTTCAGTACATGGAGAAGCAGGGAGGGCATTTCAGGCAGAGGCACCAACCCTTGCAAGGGGCTGGAGGTGGGAAAGCGCCCTGCGTACACAAGCACGCCTGTGTACACAAGCACGCATGCACACATAGCAGCTGGCCTACGGAGTGGCCCACGCTGGGGAAGGGGAGGCTGTGATCAGGCAGGGCCATGTCGTGGTGGCCTAAACATTGGCCTAGAAATTTGGTCTTTGGTCTCTGGGCAGCAGGGAGCCCTTGAGGGCGCCAGAGAGGAAGAAGGGCATGATGAGGCCTGTGCCCCCGGGTGCCCCTGGTCCTTCTAGGAAGTTTGCAGTGAGCTCTGAGTAAGAAGGGAATGAGCTCTCTGGGCCTCACTCTTTCCAACCCTCAGTTCCTTCCCAGCCCACCCATGCCCAGATGCCTCTGCCCTCTCCCCTGCTCTCCTCCCCTCCTGGGATGGCTACCCACCCTCTGGAGACTTGTCATCACCCCGAAGTCCAGCCTTCACTTTGGGCATTGCTGGCAGGAGGAGAGGACTTCAGTCAGCCTTCTGGGGAGCCCCCCATACACACACTGATCCCAGCCTGAGCAGTAAGCCTGCCCCCGAGGGTGGTGGGAGGCTGGCCTGAAGAGGAGCTCCGGAGGGTTGGAAGACCTACCCCCAGTGAGTGACACCACTGCCACATATGGTCAGCTGCCCTGGGGAAGAAGGACGGAGTCACCCTAGGTCTCCAGGCTATTCCAGCTGCCCACACTCCTCCCTGGGGTGACGACTCTTGTCTGGACATGCAGCGCTAGACACAAGCTCCTTCCTCCAAGGGGGATAACCCAAGAGCTTCCCTAAGGCTGAGCCAGCGCCCCATCCTCCCCACCTCCCCA